AGAAAAACAAAGTTAAGACATAGTTTGGCAGATTAATAGCCTGCTATTTTACCGGTTAATTACTTCATGACTAACTACTTTCTTCATTACATACCTGGCTCAGGAAACGTATTGCAAGGTTTACCAGACTCTTTCTCCCTACCAATTCTCTAGGCTAAAGCAACTGTAATCACAAGCATTTTCCAGTCATTCCCTGCCCAGGGTTTCAGTCTCAGTGCTGAAGAGCAGTCTCTCAGGGCTTTCCACATCAGAAAAGTTTACAAAGGATGTGCTATCTGTGCTTTTAAAGACTGAGAAACTGAGGCACCTGTAGAGAGCAGCCAGGAACAACAAACAATAAGACCATTCTTAGCAGCAATTCTGCAACTCCTGCTTGAAGTTACCCATCCATTATTACAATAAGTCAAGCTTTCCACATTCATGGTCTCTGTTCTTCCTTGAGGATAGTCCCTTCCCAGCCCTCCTATCCTCAAACATCAAAGGGCCCAGGGGCCCAAAACAATCTCAGTTTTGCCAGGATGACAAAGTTTGACTGTCAAGCACTGAGAGTGAGTAAAGGAAGAATAGGCTCAACCAAGCAGCATGAGCATTCACCTTAGACTTGACAATCCTAAAGACAAATATGAGCTTGAAAATTATCATGCAACCTCTATTGACTGTAATCACATTCTCCAAAGCCTTTCAAGAGCAGCTAACAGACTGCTACACTAAGGGTTAATAGACTACCATAAACACTACCTTAATGGTAAAGCATCACATTGAACTCATTACTCTGTCAAGTAAGACTGGAAATTTGATATTAATCAGCTCCCAGGGTGGAAGAGCACAGTGTTTTTACAGCACTATTAAAGAGGAAGTTTTTAGCAGCTAACTTAAGCCCCACCTTCCAAGGCTTTTAACTCATTTCCCTTCACTCCAAGCTCCTTTACCCAGTTTATAGGCAAATACCACCAGCATCTTAGTTCAAACCTGCATTTTAACTTCTCTTTTCCAGCACTGAAAAAATGGTGCTGCCTAGGAGTGGCAGAGCTGAAGTCCCTTTTTCTGAGTGGTGATATATTTCACCCCTGTAGTGCACAAAATTGAAGCTCATCAGTAGCTGGTATGTGTGGCATTCCCCCTCAGTTTGCTCAGAGCTCAGCTTGGGCAGGTAGTCCTGGCTCCAGCAGACTAAATAATCATTTAGTTTCACCTTTACCAAGCCACCCTCTTTACTGTCCACTTTTGGGGAAAAAAACACACCTACTGTTCATGCTCTGAAGCAATCATCTTATTTTGTAAATTATTTCAGTACTAACAAGGGAGTGACAGATGTTTACACAGGAACTGTGCTAAAGCAAACCTGAAAGCTTATGTCACTGCATTTTTTTCTTGCCCAAACCTAATCCCAAACCTGCTTGCTGCCCAGAGCAGACACTGCTGCTGTGTGTAAGTCTTGTGGGAGTTCAGTTTCAATGCCAACCCTGTATTAAATAGAAGCAACTGGAAAATTCTCATATTGCAATTTTATTTTGATATCATAACAGCAGCTGTTACTCTGAAATACAATCCCACAGTGCTCCAGAGCCCAAAGATGACATGTTGCACCTCAGTAGCCAAAAACACACAATGTGTATGTGAATTAAGTTCAGCTCAAGTCCTGTCGCTGCAGTTTCTATGAGGCAACATTTCTCTATTCTTGCAGGACAAACCAATGCAAATGTCACTTTAATTGTTCACAGCCCACTAACTATTCTGTTGTTACTCGTGCTCCTTACCTCCATGAGATGCAAGCAACTGAAGGCAGGTGGGGATGGGTTAGCCAGGAGCTCTCCTGCTCAGCACCAGAATCCTTAGTTGCATGAGCCTCATACTTTTTGGTTGTTGTTTTTGGGTTTCCTTCCCTACATGGAGGGCTTGCTTTCAACAAGATGGGAAGATGAGGCCATGCTAGTTTCTCCATTCTCCTATTGCAGGAGACCTAGCCCTCAGCATGCAGCAGGAGCATCCCTTTCCCAGCTTACGTGGATTAGGTGGTAGGCAGCTCATACATCCCATAAAACACCTACAGATTTATTCTTCTTGATGATTGCAGTGTTCAGCTCATGCAGGAAAAGAGAGGCAAGCAGATTGGCTTTGTATCTGGCAGCATATTATGAGCTCTCAGCCTGGGGTTTGGACTAGGTTAGGACTGGCCGTGTACAACACATTCAGGTATTTTCAGCTGGGAGCATTTTCTCTTCATCTTGTTTTCTTAAATGACAAGAGGCTCAACACTCATTCACCCTCCACTTTATGGACACATGCTACAGTCACCTACTTCTCCAGGGCTGAGTGTGCAGGAATTTCTCCCCTGAGACCAGCAGCTTCTTCTCCCTGTGAGTGTGCCCTTCAGAGCTGCCAAAGACTTACCTCACCCACCCAGATTCCTTGGTTGCCACAGAAGCAGTATAACAAAGACCCATCTGTGTCAAACCAAAGGGATTTACTGCTTATCTTTTGGACAGTGCTTTGCACTCAGTAGAGTCCTGCAAGGGGCATGAAGAGATGCCCATGTGCATATAAACTGCACCACAGGAACAGGAGGAAAGGGCCCAAAGGTGCACTGAGATGCCTTCATGGGGCAGTTTTCAGCAGTAATTTGGACATATAAAAATAGAGTTCTCTTCAGATACCAAACCTATGGATAATTCATCCACAGCAGATAAAAACTAACCAACACCCTCCCCTACACACAACAAGAAGGTCTCACAAAAGCTCTCCCTCCCTTCACTTCTTAAAAGTAAATTTTAAACAATTACACAGGGCTCTGGACCCCAATATCTATCAGCACATCCACAATACTGACTGTTCATAATGCAGTTTTATTTTTTTCCTTTGTACAAAAACAAATATAAAATTTAAATCCAATAGAAAGTGTATACTAGCAATGACAAGTTTACATTACAATGAGACAAGACAATGCGATGTGTATTGAACACCACATTAGTTTTAAAACTCTCAGTGATACATGCACTATATAAAAACTGCTAGAACTTTTACTCTATTTCTACCAAGAATATCCAGGTACCAAGATACTCAAGAACCAAAAGTAATCTTGATAGGTGGTATCTACAAAATTAGACCTTTTCCACACACAAGAAGAAACCAACATTAATAGAAACGATTATCATTCTTTGTTAAAATCCTCTCACAAAAAGCCATACATAAAATTCTTAGTAGATACAGAAAAAGCTCAGAAGCTGTTAGCATAGGTAACCATTCAGTAGTTTAGAGAATCTTTTAGACATTTTGAAGAGATACTGTAGTTTTCAATCTGTATTTTCCCCACAAAGCCAGAACTATGACGACTCCTGTTTCAAAACCTAGTCAGTGGTTAAAACTAGTTCTTGAGTGAAGTCAAAAAGTAGTGTACAAAATATTTAACAGAACAGGGGTGTGCCTGTTTACTTCTTGAAGAAAGTCTTTTCCACATTCAAGGTTTGTTTATTTGTCCCATAAACAAGATTGTACCTGAGGGATGAAACAAAAACAAGGATTACCATCATCTGTAAATAGAGTTAAACTTTTCCATGAAAGCACTAAGTCCACAGAGCACAGCCAAGCCACCTCACCAGTTTTGTCCAGCCTTCCTCAGGTCTGTGAGCCCAGGGAAGAGCATGTTTGATTAAGTGGCCAGCTCCTATTTCTAGAGACACAGAGCTCTGTTGATACTCTGTGGAGCCTTGGGATGGGGCCAGCTGCCAGCAGCCTGCTCTTCCCCCAGTGCTGGCAGCAGCACCTTGTTCCCCACTAACTGACACTGATCATACACGTCACTGCAAGAAGTGCAGTTCTGCTCTAGGAGTCAGCCCATTCTGCAGAGAAGCTGTGAGAGCTACACCGAACACTTGCTCATGTTCAGAGCAGGCTGGAGCAGCACCCTGCATCCCCAAGCCCCTATTCTGCCCTGGCCCTCACTGCCTGACTGTCCAGAAAGCTGGGTGCTATTCACCAATTCACTCTCAGTAAAGGGCTGATACTCTCCACTCAGTGGAGCTATGATTATTAAAGACTCTTCTTTTATACCCACAAACCTGCCATGCTTGTTTCTGTTAACTTGATAGCCAAAATGGATTTTTTCCCTGTTCCAAGTTATATTCCCAATAAAATAATCTAAAATTAAAGGCATAAAAATGTGCTTGCAGGAATTCTTTTTAATAGTTATTCAGTAGCTCCAGACTTTTTGTCACTATTACATAGCTTATACTCAACTTCTAAGCCAAAAAGTATTTACAGATGCTACTTACCTGTAGGATTGTGCCGGATGAAAAATACAAATGGTCTGTCCACTATGAACCAAGGAGGGGATGACCTGGCTATTAAAATTGCAGCTTGCAAAAAAAAGCAAGGTGTAGAGTGAGACAAATCAAGCACCATAATGCATTACATACTCTATCAAGTAAAGTTTCCTTGTAGATATATCTATGCCTGTGTGTATACATATATATAGGCTTGAACAGGTGCAGACAAATGCCTAAAGCCTATCAACTTGGACATTTAAAGCCACACAGGTCCACATGATATCCTTACAGGAATCATTTAAAAAGACATAAGACCCACAGAGAGCTGGAAGTTGTGGGCCATCACCCAAAGGCTGTAGTAGCTTACTCCTCTTTGTAACCTGGATAGCCAAAGCATGCTATCAATGGCCTAATGTAAAGTCTAAGCTATGAGAAGACACTTCTCTAGAAGTAAGCTGTTAGTATTTCTTACAGTGATCAACACTGGCAAGCTGAGATCTTCCTGAGAAATTACATAAAACCCATTAACTGATCTGGGTCTGAACATATTGCTAGAGGGATCTCCAAGTGGGCTATCTTTGCTTTGTGCCATAGCCCTCTAATGGAATTTTCCCAAGTCTGACAGTTATTGGTACAATTGCTTACTTGTTGCTGCAGAAGCTTTGGTTCCATCTTCACTAACTTCAATTTTTGTCTTTTGCAGAACATTAGATACATGAAGACCTTCTGTTCCTGAAAGACCCAAGGAGAACAGCACCTTCAATAAAACTCACTGAGAGAGTCCTGAAGAACTTTGTAGCTAAGCAGCTCTGTCAGCATGGCTCAGAATACTAAAAGTTGCTACAATCCTGCTGGAATCCCAAAGCTGCAGTGCAGAACAATACCTTTGAATACAGTCACTAAGTGAGTAATTACAAAAATAAGAAATAACCTATTTTACTTCTCCTTCCTTCCCATTTACTAAGTTTTTATTGATGGCTTAAGTTAGAAATGCTCACATGAATTTTTAGTTGCAATTAAAAAAAAAACAACTGAAAAAAACTTGCTATCTGAATTTAAATTACACTCCCATGTGTCTCAATGTCAGGGGAAAAAAAGCACTTAGCAACATACCTTGCTTTCAATGAAACACAGGAATCTGTTTTCAAATTAAGCCAACACAAGGTAAGCTTTTTTGTTAGACAGTTCTAGAGAAGCTAATCAGGATTTTAATGAAAGCAGAGAAGAGAAATAAGATGACATTTTTCAGCCATGAGTTTAAAACTATTTACACCCCAGTTTCAGGCACTAATATTTACAGTTCTGAGTTGGTTCAGTCCCTTAAAGTGTGAATATTTTTCATACATGCTTTCTTACAGCTCAAGAAAAAGTCACTAAACACATACTAAAGGGAAGATTTCACACTGTAGTTGCAGTGTTTGCTACAGACTAAGGTATGGTATTAAGTCCTGCCAGAGATTTCAGACAATGCTTGAGACCCTCAGGTTGCAGTATCAAAGAAGCTGACCAGCATGATTTACTGCTGTAATATAAGATAAGGGGAAAAAAAAAAAAAAGCCACTGCAATGCTGAACAGAAGCAAGCAGTCATGCCTGGCTGGCTACAACATAAAACCAGCTCCAATGTCATGGCAACACCTAGCCAAGAGAAAGCAGACAACTGCACTGGTAAAGCAGCACTTTATTCAGAGCTAGAAACTATGAAGGACCACCATGCATTAAGACAAAAAAAACCAAACTTACTTGTTATTTTTGCAAAGTTTGCCTTTGACTGGTCAAACATATCTGTAATACCAAGTGCTTGCAGAGGTTCCTTTAAGTCTGTTTCTGCTTCTGCTGTAAATCTGAGTGGAAAAAAAAAAATGTATCAGTATTATACAGGAAAGTCACCTGAAGTATTCCTTCTCCCATATCAGATAAGATACATATATAATCCATTCCTTCTTCAGGGAGTGTTAAGTACTTACTTTGGTAAAATAACCTGCACTCTTTTTGCTACCATGGTTGTCATCCAGCTTCCTATTGTTTTTGTGCTGATGTGGGGGATGATGGCAGAGAGTGGCGTTGTGCTTTCGGTGGGCAGTGCAATCAACATGCTGATCATTTCCCCATGGTATGGCAGCTCAATGATGTTGTACCACAGCTCATTTGGGGTACTTGTAGTGCCTAAAAAAATAGAAACAAACCCAAACAAACTAGTGAGCCATAGCCCTTATAGCCTTAAATCTCTACCTTAATGCAACTACAGCTAGAAGAGTGTCAGGAAAGTTTTGCCCACCTCTCAAAACCAACTTTAAAGACCTAGACTTCCTGCTAGACAACCCTTCAAAAGGCACAGGCTCTGTAGGGATGCTAGTATGATGCAAAACACAGAAAGATGATATTATGGAGTAAATACTCATTTAACATACATACTGTTTCCCAGACAAATGTCACCAGCACAGAGCAGCAAGCCAGCTACATTAGAAGTGACCAGGCCTATGAATTAGCTGGATCTTTGCTTTAGATCTCAGCTGTACCAGAACCAACTGTGAATTGAGAATTAAAAAAAAAACAACAAGGAATAGCAGCAGACTATCTTTCAAAACTGAAGAGATTTTGCAGACAAGCCTGTTCCTCCAAGAGTTATTGCAGGACCTACTGGTTCCTGTCTGAAGTAGTCTGTTGCATTCACTTAATTTTCTTGCTTAATAAGGATCTGATTAGGAAGCAATCTGAAGTCTTTGGAGATAGTGGAAAGCAGCCACTTTGAGGCAGTGTAAGAGGCCAATTAGATGAGATGGAGGGAGATAGCAATGCATCCAAGTTACAGCAAGACTGTGAGCAACCCTCTCCTCCTCCAAGCTCCCTTTGCTTACCGTGGGATTTCTGGCATGTGGCTGGAAAGCAAATGCTTTTTATAGTAGTTTCAAGTTAAAATTTGTCAGTTTAACTACAGACAGTATTTCAGGCAAGGTTTTAGGATTAGTAGCAAGATCTTACTGTCTTTCCCCTTTCTTCATCTAAATCTGTACTTGTCAGTCCAAGCTGAAAATCAATGGCTGCATTACAAATTTAATCTTGTTGCCAAGGGCCATGAAACCTGCCCTAAACTCATATTGCTAAATATGAGTTTATTGCTAAACAAAACTGGCAGTACTGCACCTCTGCTTTGCAGGAATCATGTCAAAGTTGGCAGTTTCACTATTCCTTTTATTATGGCAGTAGTTCTCAGGCTGGAGCCTGCAGAGCTAACACTGGTTGCACAAGTCAGCTCCAGGACAGTCACACAAGGCAAACTGTCCAACAGGTAAGTGCTGCTTTCCTGATTTGCTACATGCTGCTATCATTACTGAGGCAAACTGAACAAGAGGGGAGCTTAGCTTCAGTCAGCTGATGGGACTGAAGATACTTAAGATAATTAAACTTTTAAAAATCCATTGCAAGCATGGATAGAATATAAACCCTGTGTTAGGAAATCCAGAGATACAAAAACTCAAGTGAGTCCTCAGCAAATGGGTAACTCAACAGTATTTCTTTTGTTCCTTTTCAGCCTTAATAGTTTCTCTAGCTTAAACATAGGCCAACATTATGGATATTATAACCAGCATCAGAAGCCTTTAAGATAATCTTGCTAAACTCCATCTTAAGTTATAACTTCTTTGAAACTCCAAAATTAGTATATACTGCAGTATCTTTCCTACCTCCCCTAGCTCACACTTTCAGCAGCTGAAGTATTATATTACATCTGCTATAATGTACAGGTTTGTGACAGGATCACAGCTGTTCACTTTAACATAAATCTACTAATATTAGTTGAGCACTACTGACATAGTAGTGCACAAAACTAGGCATTTAAGAGAACAGCATCTCTTGCTTTTAGATTTATATCAAGCTGTATTCTCAGGCCTGTTTTTCAGACTGTATCTAGCACACATGGAAGTAAGTTCCAGGCAGCACTTCTTAGAATGATGGAACACAAGTTTTTAATCAGAGCATCCACCTTACTTTGACCACTAAAATCCCCATAAGGCTGCAAACTGAAGCTCTGAAGTACATTGCCAATCACATCAAGCCACTGGTGTCAGCTCTGAGAGTCTCTGATGGAAGTCTGGCAGAACCTGCTGAACTTCTTTTCACTTGTGACTCAATCTGAAGAGCAGTTTCACACCTCAGGAGATGTAGCCAACATTCTAATCCAGCTCCTCTGGCTCCTATAGGACTGGAGACTGTACAAGTCCCATTTCTCTATCTGCAGTAAAATATAAACTGATTCTACTCCAATCTTTCTCTCATATACAGCTCGCCACCGGTAAACCTCTACCATTCTGCCTGTTGGCAGCTTTCCTTTATTCTCAGTCCTTATAAGCATGTACTTTTATTTCTTACAGCAAAGCTTAACTAACATGCAAATTTCTCAATTTGGCTACTTCAGGCTTTCCCTTTTAAAGGCAAAGGATAAGGCAATACTTGACAGTATCCAACCTTAAGGCAACTGTTAAGTACCTTGCCCATGCCTCAGCAGCAGAAGACACTTCTGTAACAAAATCCATCTATATCAGCTACAAGAAGCAGCACCATTAAACACCACATGCACAGCAAGCTCTTGTTTCAATTTGAAAGGAAAGAGAAAATTCTACACCCATTGTTGGTGGTAGTGAGAATCACTGAGCTTACCACAGCGGAAGATGGACAACTGGGACAGCATAGGAACTTGGTAGGTCTTCCCATCAGCTCCATAAAATGGGCGTTTCTTTGTATTTTCAGGTCGAAATCGTGACTTCCATAAGCCCTTGAAATACACAGCATTCACTAAAACCAGTCTGGTCAAACTGCCTTCAATATCATCTGGAGCTACAACCTGATCAATCATACCTAGAAGAAATAAAGGAATTCTTGAGTATTTGCCATCATAAACACTGGCTGTTTTTAAAATACGTGGCACACATTACTTTAGACCCCTTGACCTGTGATTGTGACAGCTCCTAGAGCTGTAAAATTCTTAAATTCAATGGTATTCTTCGTCAAAGTAGACTTCTGGGATAACTAGAAATAAACATATCTTGTTAACTGATAGCCTGATGTTTTAACAACTAACAAGGCTTTGCCCTTTCCAGCATGCAAGCGGAGCTAAGACTACATGGAATACTTTCAGCTGAAACTCCTCCCCATTCACACACTGCTTGCAACATTGCTATGCAAGACTGGTGATGTGGTTGAGAAAGAATTTGACAGCCTCATTTCACAAATATGACATCCAATATCATTAACACACTCCTCACATCCAGGAGGGACTTGTTTTAGCTCTAAAAGTTACCAAACACATAGTTCACCTAGACTGTGAACATACTGCAAAACACCATCTCTGGCTTTAGTATCTGTAAGCTTGACAATTGGTTCAAGAGGCTTGAAGCATTAGGAGTTGTCTTTAGGGCAGTCAGAGCAAAAGTTGAACTGCCCTACAGCTTCCTGCAAGTCTGATTTACTGAGTAAAACAGCTGAGTTCCCTGAAATCATGTTTGAGAAAGCATGGTCCCAAGACAACTGTGCTTGGATTTCTCACCAGTTACATGAATGCAAAGAAAAGTAAAAGCTGCTCTGATCCCTGCTGGGGCCACAAGACTGCTGGTTCCTGGACCAACCAGCTCTAAAACATCACACTAATGCCAGCTAAAAGTTTTGAGCTGCAGAACAGAGCTCTCTACCTCCCTATCTTTCTCCAGTATTTCCATCTAAATTGGAGGTATCAGACACCACCTTGTCATGCAGAAAGGCACTCACCAATACTCACCCCTTGTTTCATTTTTCACCCATTGGTTGATGGAATCACATGCTGCATTTGGGTCCTCAAAGTCCACACTCTTGACACTGCACTGAAACACCTCTTTGTTCCTTGTAACAAAAGGCACTTCCATTTTAAAGCCA